ATACTGAAGAGGCTGAGGAATCAGGAAAATTCAAGAGCAAGAAGAAATTTGTGTGTGTGTGTGGTATAAAACAATTACCTACCTTTGTGGAATATAGAACATATGTTGGGGTGGTGGTTTATAGAGGACTCCTTCATAGACAGGCCACAGACCACTTAAAATTCTAAAGAGAGAACTTTTCCCACAACCATTGGGACCCGTTATCAAAAGATGCATTCCTTCTTGTACCTAAAATAAGAAATTAAACTATAAACTGCAATATTTAAGAATTATCTTATTTGCTAGTATCTAATAGTGATTTGTTTAAAAAAACCCCACAAACTTTCACATACACTATAATCTAGGTTGGCAAGGAATCAAAGAAACATATATTAAGATTAAGGACATCAAGTTTTGGCTTTTGGCTATGCTGAGATGCTAAAAGCATAATAAAATAATTTCTAAGACAAGGGATTTCATTGGAATAACCACTAGCTTTACAAAAATGTAATTGAGGTCTTGTAACCAGACACTTTATACATTTTAAGAAATATAAACACATGGGAAATAAGATTAACCATAAACATTTTAGAGATATTAAATGTTATTCATGTTAATATTGCTTACATTTGTGTTGAATTCAAATACACTTTTAAGTCAATTGGAGCTATTGGTTACAAAGCACAGGAATCCTAAGAGATAGCTCGGTTGTGTACTTTTGTATTTTAGCAGTCTATTGCTACAGACAACCCAAAAGTCTATCATCAGAGAGGTAAGGTGATTCTAACTGCACTATTCACAGATGGAGAAAATACACTCAGAAACCAAGACAGAGGAAAGCATGAGGACTGTAATTCAATCTATGTCTAGGGATTAATGAGAATGCATGCAGAGAGCATGTATAAAATAAAACTAAGATTATTTACCCATTAGATACTTCTCTTTAGAATCTCCTAGGTTATTTATCTTTCAACTCAAACAAATAATTTATGAATTTTTAATCCATTCAATAACATTGAGACAGTATTCATTAAATATCTCCAATGTACCATGAAGAACAACAATTGTGAACACCATTAAAATGTATTAGCTACTAATGATATCAAATTATATTTTATAATCAGTCATATAAAAATGAATACAATGTGAAAATATGGTAGGCAGAAATCTACAGGATGTCTATAGGCATAGCTTTATATAGTAAGAATGTAAGTATTCAAGTGTAGAAGATGTTGAATACATCACACTGAAACTTAATATTACTAGCATTTTATCACTTAAAGTTACCTTCATGATTCTTGGGTTGTGTATAACATGAGTTCAAATTCTTTTATAGAAAAAAATGGAGATAGGAAGGGAAGGAAGAAAAGGAGTTTGTACTGCAGGTTAGATAAAAGAACTGAGGATGTGCATAATAAGTGTATGTAAAGCAAAAACATGGTAAAAAAATTATTTTCTGTCAAAATAGTTCGACATCTCCACAGCAAACATTGCCAGATATCTACTATGTGTCTGACACTCTTCTAGGCACTGGGGATACACTATTGCCCAAGACAAGAACCGTTTCCTCATAGCACTTACATCCCAATTGGGAGAGACAGCAGCAAACTCATGAACAAAAAATTAAGTAATGATAAATGGTATTTTTGTAACAGCAAAAGAGGAAGACATGTTGATGGCATTGTGAGGTTTTGGGCCTTTCTTGAATTTTGTGGACATTTCAGATCAGGCATGAATGACATGAAGCAGTCCGTTATGATCTGGGGAAGAGTACTCTAAGCAAGATGACAGTGCTCACAAAGAACATACAAAAGGAGCAAACTGACTGAGTCTGTAAAATCTGGCCACAGATATTTTTCCTTCCTAAATGTAGCCAACTGAAACTACATTGAGAGAATAAAGTTAAGAGAAAATCCTGAGAAGAAATCAGAAAGAATTAATTTTATGAGTTGCTTACATTCTTTCACTATAGCGAAAAGTAGGTTTTATTTAGTAGAAGCATAAATGTTTTTCAAATGTGTTTTAATTCCAGTGGCCAATAAAAGAATGAGACCCTTTTCATTTAAACACCTGTCTAGCTTTCAACCAATGCAGAGAAAACAGTGATTTCATTTATATCCTGGAAACTTAAGTATTTAAATGTAAGTTCTCACCTGAGTCACAAATAAAATTTAAAAAAATGTTTTATAATAACTTATATCTCTGTAGAACTTCAACTTTTATAAGATATTTGTACTAGATTAAGTATTATTTTACTAATTTTACGTAAAAAGAAACTGAGCTCTCAATGGGTTGAAAACAAGATGTACCATGTCTATAAAAATGTACCTAAATAGATGGCAGAGTGCAAGTTTCTTACTTTATTTAATAAATGGAAAAAGAATAATTAATTTTTTGACAAAAAAACCTGACACAAAAACTCTAGAAAAGCCCAATATGACAAAAATAATTCTATAAAAGGTCATAAATTATAAATTGCTAATTTATAAATAAATAAATATTCCATGTGTTTTTGTTGTTGTGTTCCGTTGAGTTGGTTCTGATTCATAGGTATCCTGTATAGTGTTTCTGGAAGGTCTGGTGGGCTTGAACTATTCATCTTCGGTTACCAGTCCAATGCTTATCCTACAGTGAGTGCCACATCAGGCCTCAAATATTCTATGTAGGCCTCTTGAATTAATTTTATTTTAATCTATTAAAGTTAGGGTACATCACTAATACCTAATTGGCACTCAAATTCTGAAACTCATAATCAAACCACCATCTAAGATATATATGTTAGTTCTATAGATCTATGAAACAGTACCACCAACAAAATTCCAAACCTGACCAACTGTAGTCAAAACATAATTTCTCTTAAATTTATGAACACAGGATATCCCCCTGTTTAGTGCTTCTTACTGCCTTTTAATTTCAGACACCCTTGTTGCTATTGTTTTTAAGTGCAGTCGATTCAGTTCCAACCCACAGCAACCCTGTATAGGGTTTTCAAGTAGTGGCTGGTGAGCTTGAACCGCTGACCTTGTGATTCAAACTGATTTTTACAGTCCAGTGCATTAACCCACAGCGCCACACCAGTTAAGTGCTGTCAAATCAGTCCTGACTCATAATGACCCTATGTAGGGTTTTCGAGGTGAGTTTGAACTGCCACGCTTTCGGCTAGCAGCCCAGTGCTTGTCCTACAGAACCACACCAAGACTTAGCTTTAGTTGTTTGCAAATACATTTAAATGATTATGGATTCTATTCCATATTAAATAATTAGCACACACATTGCCTGGTTTGGAAGTCTGTTATCAAGTCCAGTCATATATTTGTGTAAACTAAGCTCAAGTGCCTTGAATGCTTGTCAGCAAATTATTTTGTGTTTGAATTCTAAAGTGTATGCCTAAATTCTATAATGCTTCATATCAGGGCCTTGTGTTTATTAGATACTTTTATATTTTGTTAAGTGCCGTTGAGTTGGTTCTAACTCATAGTGACCCTGTATACGGTTTCCAAGAAGCGGCTGGTGAGCTTAAACTGCTAATCTTGTGGTTCAAACTGACCTTGAGGTCCAGTGCTTTAGCCCACAATGCCACATCTATAATCAAGACATACCAAACACCAAATTAACATTGAGTGGATTCCAACACTTAGCAACTCTATATAGGATTTCCGTGATTATAAATCTTTACAGGAGCAGAAAGTATCATCTTTCTCCCGCAAAGTGGTGGATTTGAACTACCAATTTTGTGGATGGCACTCTAATACACTTATCCTATAGCCCCATCAGGGTTCCTCAATCAAGACAAAGGACATGAAATAAAAAATGACTTCAAT